ACAAACAGAACATAAATCACTTTTTAAGTGCAATCTGTATAGCTAATATATTGCTTAGACTTAGATTTGTCACAATACTCGTATGAACGTATAAATCGTAAGAATTGTGCTGTAAACGTAAGTGATGTCGAAGAGGGACAAATGATACCATAAATCGCAATGCTCTGTTCCTATAGCTATAACTTATAGTTAGTACGCCTCTGCCGCTAGGATGTGCCAGAAAGCAACACGATGGTGTTAGATTACAAAAGTGTCAGACGTCTAGGAGGGGGACGCATACCGCGCCCCCCTCTAAATCCGCCACTGTGCACAGGTTCCAGCATTTTGCTTATGTTAGGAAAGGGATTTAAATATTTTATATATTTCCAATCGGGCTGTATGGTGTAGGAGTGCGAAAACCCTATGATGTTTGTCACATTTAAATAAAGGGTGAACTTCACTCAGATGACTTAAAGGAATCATCGATATTCTGTTCTACCTGCTTGTTAGTTTCGTCAAAGTCGACGTGATCAGGTACCTGGTAAATTGTCCACGAACAAAAAAAAAATCAGCAGCTGCAAAGTGTGATTTCAGCTTTAGTCTTGTCCTAATCAAGATTCACTGATTTAACGACCTGCTTATACCTTAGATACCGTTGTAAACACTCAGTTCTAATACGAACCAGTTCAACATTCACGTCCTTTTGTTTTTGAAGAACGATAGATCCCCGAACAGATCTGAGAATAGCTTTCCTCGCTCGTACGTGGGAAAAAAGCCCATAAATCGGAATTGCAACCACTTCAAAAAATACGTGCGAGAAACGAGCATCCAATCCAATACCAAGAAAGAGGTCACGATCAGATTACTACTGATCTGGTGTTCCAAATTAACGGATACAATTTAAGGCAGCACATCCGACAACCGGCGCCATACCCTTGTGAGCTAGAGCTGGGTCAAATATTTCTTTTTAGCGATTCGTCCCCATGCTATCAATTCTTCTTGTTGCGGCGTCAGGAGGCGAGGAGGTATTGTAATCGCGACAAGTTTGGCAAGTAAGATATTTTTTTTGATGTTATATGACATTGACGTCATGGAAAACTATCCCACTCAGTTCCATCAGTCTGTCCGTCGGATTTAGATAAAATTCCCATTTTCAACACCTACGTATGTGTATCCGATTTCAATAATTTTTGGCACATATGTTCAGTGTCCCTTACTAGTAAAAAGATTAAATTTTCAACTTGATACGTCACCTGACTGCAGAAGGTGGTTCAATAATGTGTTGAGGATCCACGATTCCTTATAGCCTCGTTGAAACACCTGGGCATCGTGCTGATAAGGTGATCGATATCGTGTTGGGGTATCTCGTTCCAGGCTACTGCAACTTCGTGAGTAAGACCTGCTAAATTTTGTGAAGGGTGTTGCAAATACAAGAGCCTGCGACCCATCATGTCCCAGACATGTTCTGTTGGAGATAGGTCAGGCGATCGTGGTGGTCAAGGTAAACGGTTGATGAGATGTTGATCCATGAAGGCTAACGATGCTCTGGCGACATGCGGTCTGGCATTGGCTACTTCTTGAATATAGCGTATAGAAGTCTTAACCAGCGGTCTTGTCGGTCTGTGGTCCCTCTTGGCCTTCCTAGGTCCACGCTCGTTCACACTGCAAAAACTGAATGATTCTTCATCACCATACAATACACGCAGCCACCATAAAAAATTAACAGAAAAACCTGACCATTTTATCACTTGTTGTTCATGGCAAGATAAATCGAAATGTGAATAATTCTTTAATAAGGCCCAATTTCACCAACATTAACATTATGGAGCAATGGGAAAATACCTTATCGAAATGTAATTTGACAGAAGCAGTCAAAGGTCTCTGAATATTCGACTGTATTATAAACAAGACCACTTTTTGATTCCAACATGATGCTTTTGTACAGAAAAAAACGGACAACTTTCATGTATTTTGATATGTGTTATAGGTTTACATTTAACAATCCGTTATCCCTCTCAGCGAATGGGAATGCGGCAAATAATAGGTCGATTTTCTACCTGTTAAATTTGGCAGAAGATTTGGACGTTTGTTAATGCATGGCACTCTCGAATTTACCAACTTTACGTCATAATAGTCATCATTTATTAATTTATGGGTTAATGAATTTCTTCAAGCAATAAAAACATTATGTCCTTTCCATCCTAAAACACAGATAATATGTGTAAGACGTGTCAATCCCTACATCTCCCTGATGCATAATGCAATTACTATGGACATAGACAGAAAATTATGAAAAATGTTTCACAAATAATGTTTTTTAAGTCCAAAAATCATAAAAATTAGTAATGTTTATTAAGGATTTTTGGTGAGTCCACGGTGTAGCACAGTAACGTACACTACCGGGAACTGATACTCAAATTTTCGCGAATAACGGGAATAGGGAAAGACGGATGTGACGTCGTGAAAAGTTGTCTTCGCAGTGCCGAAAATTGAGGTAAATTATTAAATCATAAATGAAGGAACACGTCCACCTGATTTTAAATATACGAGGGAGAAGGTCATCAAAGATATATGAACCGCACTTGGCATATCAAATGATTGATTCTATTGATATATATGTACATTGCAAAAAAAACGATCGGTCTTTTATCAAGGAGCTTAAAGCAAACATTTTGCGAAACATGCGCCATCTAACCACTCCCGGTGTAACTTGAAACTGTCAAAACTTCGAGAGGAAGCGGATATTTCATCTGTTCCCGCTCCGGTTCACTACGCGAAAAAATCTCTATTGTTTGTCTTTTCGACTGGCGAGGATATCTATCTGTCACTCGCATGGTTGCCCTGAAAAAATGGCCGCTGACAACCACACAAGTCACCGTGTTGTCATTAAATAGCATGGAATTAAACCTTCAGAGTATATGTTTTGTGACTGTTACCAAGAGTTGGCAGATCCCACACATGTGTCACTCCTTGAAATGCAATAATCAGCTGTATTCAAACAATATCTAATATAAATATAACCTAGAACGTGTACTCGTGAAAAAAGGAAAAAATATGGCCAACTTGTAGTTTTTTTGCAGGTTTTAGGTTTGCTGGTAGCTTTAAGGCATATATTTGGGAATTTCTTAATCGATGTGAATATAGTGTGGATGTTTGTTCAGTTCCTGAACAATGAAAAATATTCAACTGTATGGATGTATGGATATCAAAAAACCTGAATGGTTTTGTGGGAATATCAATCTAAGGTGCCATAATGGTTCTGATGAACGGCAAGTAAATGAATAAATGTTTGGAAACGAGCAATATCTTTTGGTAGAGCCGGTCATCAAGTAGGTGCTTAATGGCTATCTGCAAGAGGTTTATAGGAAAAAACACCCAGTATCGCATATCAATTGAAGAACATAATATAATCATGAATAAAAAATCAACAATAGTAACTAAAACATGAATTTTATTCAAAAATACGTTTCTTTAAATTTTGACTGAATTGTATGTAATTTCTTAATATTCAATAAGCTGGTGATGTTTCAATGACAAGCTGTCATCTCATACTTTGACAGTATTTTGTTTTCAACATTTCATAGCTATTGGTTGCTAAAATTTGTTAATTGGAACTTGAAGCTCATTCGTTGTATTTGACGGTCTGTTACCGTATAGGTGGAGAATAACGGACTGTTGTTGGTGAAATTGGCCCTAATTCTAATAAACATAAGTAGGTGTTTACCTTTTTTTTGTCACTACTAGCTACAGCTAGACAATGCGGTATAAATGTTGCTCCTTCAGAGAGCTTATTACAAGACTCAGAGCTAGCATTCTGAAAATTGCAGAACCGTCATCGAATTAAAGGAATTGGTCACGGAAAAAACGGCATCACAGAATTGGATCACTACAAGGACCTGTTCGGCTCAGCCTTATTGCGAGGTGGAAGACGCAAGCGGCGACACGAGGCGACGAGAGACGGCAAGTTATTTATACCCAGGGCTCTCTAGATGCCTCTAGACAAATCCAATTATCTTAGTCTCAGGGGCTGCGAGCAATCTTTGATGTACCTTGATACCCTGAAAGATTACTTCTGTATAATAACAAGTTTTTGATGCGATTAGCTGGGAAAATTGGAGATTTTCTCTCTGACACAAACTAAATTGTTTTGTTTAATGTAGACTGTGACATTATCGCCCCTATTAGGCGGCTCGAGATTGAAGTATAACTGGCTGGGTGCAAATTGCTGCCGAGATTAACCCGTTAAATATCAGTTTTAACACGAAATCACGGATGACGGGCTTGAAAGGGCTGGGGTGGCGAAACACATAAAACTTGGATATTCAGAATGTCAGACCTTGTCTAAGGGATGGGAAACTGGTGTGATAATGATCTTCATTTTGTTGAGTATAAAATTTACCATGCTAAGATTAAGGAGGTCGGGATGTCACTTGGGTTGCGTGTACCAAGCACTAAATCCAATCTAGTTAAAAATTGTGAACATACCATTTACATTCTGGCAACAACTTTCTGCCTCTCGTGGGATACACTGTTCAGTATAACTCGACTGATGACGTTATCTGGTTGGTTTTTGGGTAGTTAGGCATCGCAAAATATTTCTATTTGACGTCTCGCCAACACGAGTGATTGGCATCTTGAGTGTTCACAGTTCGGAGTCACGTGAGCCAGTGGCGGCTCGTGGCAAAATAAAACAGGTGTTCTGAAAATCCGAGCTTACCTATTTTTTATATGCCAGTTCAATCCTGCGCTGCTTCTTGGCAGCAAGTTCGTCGATCACCTTCCCATTGAAATTTTCCATGGTCGAAACAAATTCCTTTTCAATGGACAGCATCGGCAACGCTGTAAGGCGATCCTGGGTCATAGTATTACGAAGAAAAGTCTTGATTCTTTTCAATGTTGAGAAATTTCGCTCAGCTTCTGATGTTGACAAAGGAGTTGAAACAGTAATTTCTAATAGCTTTTTTGTTTCTTTTAGTGTTTCCTCCAAACTATTTTGTATCAAAAATTTCAAAAGAGACAGAGTATCATGTAAATCTTGGCAGTCATTCCGTGCATAAATACCCGACAACTCAATCTTTAAACGACTTTTTTCTAATTCGGGATAAGCCAAGCAGGTGGTTTCCAACTTGTCATCAGGAAACTTACCACAGTATTCTCCAAAGTGTTCGGGGAAAAGAAGGAATGTGGCTTCCAAATGATCTTTGAATTGAAATCTGTCATTTGCAGAATTCACTATATTGTCGCATACTTCTAATGCGGCAACTCGGTCATCGTGACTGCTATTATTACGTCGTCTCCTTTTGTTGCCTTGGGGTTCAGTGTAAATACTTTTGGCTTCATTTTTTATGTCATCAATTTTATTTCTCACATCGACAATACATTCTTCAAAATTGTCGATAGCCGTTTTAACTTGCGCTGGCTCGGTTTTTCTCTTCTGCATCTGGTTGAACAAGGTGTCGAGGTGAGGCATGACATGATGAAAAAATGTCAACCAAAACACGAAAACAGAATCGTTTAACATACGGCGAATACCACAAGCTGCCCTGCAAACGGTTTCATTAGTGAGATTTTCTTCTATTTCTTCCATGCATTCAATGAGTGATTCTCTGTTCTCAAACACTACGTTTATTGTTCGAATATTAAAGTTCCAACGAGTTATTGCTCCTTGTGGAATTTTTTCCCCACAATTCTGTTCAGTACCTCTACGCGTTGAAGATAGTTATTAAAAAATCCCGGAATATCTTTCAAATCCCCAAAGAACACCCGAACTTGAGCATTTGCGGAAGCAGCTTGGGACATCACCAGGTTTAACTGATGCGCATAGCAATGCACATAGTGACCAAATAGGTATCCTTGTTTAATGTTTGCCTGTACTCCAGCATTATGTCCGCTCATTACCGCGGCTCCATCATAGCTTTGTGAAATCAGTTTATTAGGGAAATTTCCTAATAATGTATCTACGAAGCTCAAAATATGTCTTGTGCACTAAATCTGTAACACCTACCTCCGTCCAAGCTTTGTCAGCTCCGAAAAGTATGCAAGGAAAGCAGAAAAGGGCATTCTTCCTGTTGCACCCACAAATCCAGTCATTTCTGGTGTAAATCTCCCTGCTGAAATGCCGCGAATAGCCCTTGCCCCGACTAACGCCCTGTGTTCCAGAATCGTTTAACGCTGATAAGTCTGTAATCCACATCCATTGTCTTGCACTACCCTTCTACACAGCCACAGTCAGGCAGTGAGTCACTAGTCACTCAATGTAACGTAAGACCCAAAATACCTGAATAAAAAATGTTTCTCATCCAAATTTCAAGCCACGTCACCCGACAAGACCAAGATGCCAATACCGAGGACCGAGCACCGACCAACCAATCAGATATCGTACTTCGCATTAGATCTGTACGGATCTGCATAAATTGCAGCAAATGGTTTTGTAGAGAGACAAAAGCAAGCGCGTGCGGCTTGTGTCGAAGTAGTGCACAGACCCTTTTCAAGTGGCCCATGAATAATGATACGCTGCGGTCGCGACGAAAATGACAAGTACAAAATTGGTCGATTATAATGCTGCAAAACAGACTCGACGCCGTGTCTTGCGGGAGCAGGACGGTATTGTTTCTATTTGTGTGATAACATGGAAAATAAATAATTATCAAATTACTACTGCTTTTTTCTGTTAAGACAAAAGTTTTGGCTGTTCTGCAGCTCTGCAGAACTTGAGGGCCAGCCGCCCCTGTAGCTCACAGGACTCCACTGTGGCTGTGTTAATAAATGTACTTTACGAGAGTTGATCCCTATGCTGTGTCCATGACACCTTAAAAATGCTTGTTTGGTGAATCTTGTTGACTGTAAGACAAGTGGTCTTAGTAGGATATGCTAGCATTATTATTAATAATAAACAACAGTAGAATCGAAGCTGTGAATTTCATAGAAACACAACAAGTTGCATTCCATGAACCAAACACTCAGTTCACAAAAATTGTCTTGTAAAAGTCTTGTCTTGTCTAGTTTAGAGTTCTGTCCACGAAAGTAGTCATGTTGAATAACTTCAGCCTCCCTTCATAGCTGAGTGGACTAGCTCCAAACTAGCCTGGTAAGGGGAAATGTCCTCGATACCTTGCAAAGATTCTATAATGGATAAAAGTTTGGATTTGTGTAACTGCAATAGTCTTCTGTACCATAATGGGAAGTTCCAGATCCTGCGGTAGTCACGTACTGGAAAATGTTTGTAAAGCTTTTTGATTTTCTTGTTATGGTTATGTAAATATTATATATAGAAAAAAAAGCTGGCTTGGCCTGTTGGGTGGATCTAATAGTCTAGATATTGTTTATATGTCAAGCTGTTTCGACGTCATGTGCTTTGTGGTTATAATATGATAAGGATTCTAATAGAGACTGATACTGATGAGCAAAGAGGCATAACAGTATGTCCGCCTGGTATGGTGCAAACTGAAATTCATCAAAACATTGTGGCGACTGTTTGAGGGTATACAGTTTCTTATGATATAATCAAGCGCTCCTGTCTTGATTTCAATTTTACAAAATGAACATGTAAAATCACAGGACCGACTATGCAGGCTTAATCTAAACATTGCCAGAGAGTTTCAAAGAGAAACGTCAGACAAATTAACAAATGACGAATTGTTTCATCAGAATGGTGCTCTCAGTTCTTAACTCCTGCGTTACTACGGCTGCCCTTCCGCATTCCTCAACCTTGGCCCTCATCAGGTTCATAACGCTTATAAAATTAAAACAACATTTACAGGAAAAGAAGCAACAAGTGATATTTACGACAAGCATTCGTCCAAAACTTCTCCTTGAGGGTCCTTGGAATGCTGTAGCATCGTTTAAGGAAGTCCATTGATGTTAAAAGGGATCGATTATAAAAATAAAATATACAGACTAAAAGTAGCTTCACTGCAAAGAGGTCAGGTGTGGAGCATTATGACCTCGCGCCCTATACAGTGATACTGATTCTCTGATTTATATTGATCCTGTATTCCTTCCCTCATGTAAGTCTCGACTACATAATAGTTTGCTAATGAGGAAAATACTTCGGAGTGTTCGACTACCAAATCGCATACGTGCATGCTTTCAAAGAGCATCAATAATCGCGTCATTAATTGCCGAGTCAGCATGAGAGGTTGCATTGAGGTGTTAATTGGAAACATAAACGAAACACCCAATATAAGCCTGGATGCACTACATGCACCTTTTTGATTTTGTTTGATGTAATTAGGTGATCTTAATTAAAATTCACTAATTTACAGCAGCAGAGTCTCGGCAAAATGTGTATTCAATAATAAAGAGCCACTGAAAATGTCGGAACCATAATTATATAACTTACTCGACGTTAATTTCATAAACAGCTTCGGTCTTAATTAGTATATTTTACGAGCTCGTTAAAATTGAATTCGTTCATATCAGTGAGTTAAACAAGCTATCTAATGACATTGGAAAGCATTTCTGGTTGATTTGAAACTTGGCCTCACTGTAACGAGTCAGTATTTATACACGATCCCTATAGAACTATCAAACACTAAACATTCAATTATTGATGAGATATTTTGCAATTTGCCAATTTAGTACGATCAACTCGTGCTCCTAACGCTGAACAGATGTGCAGCGGAGCCTGCTTCAATTCTTTCGCTACTCTTCTAAAAATTGGAAATTTGTTCATGTCCAACCCATTCCAAAAAAGGGATCTAAGATTGACCCTTACAACTTCGGGCCCATAGCTTCGCTTTCTGTTGTTAAGTAAGGTTAGTAAATCGCGAGCTGGGTTTCTCATCTTCATCCCACAACGTCAATGCGGGTGTTGCCTATCAACGTCCTCATTTCTTCTACCACAGCTTTGCCCAACCACAGCAACCTACCTGCAGGAATTTGCAGCGACAAGTCAATGTCGGTGGTGAGCTGGAAAAGAAGAAGACCAGCGGCCGCTTCTTCTCTGACGATAGACCTGAAGAATATCACTGCTTAGCGACGCAACAATTTTGTACACTTCGATTCTTGCAAAACGCACTACTGTACATTGACGAACAAAGTTTGTCCTAGCATTCATCCGGTTTCGATGGATGATAAGTTCATTTGGGCTGGTCGTAGCCTAGATCCCTAGGACTTGACCTGGCACGTACCCATCTCATCAACAGCGGTAGCAGCTGCGAAAAAGCTAGGCGCGTTGCGCCTTCCGACCTAACCCTGTCGAACTTCGTACATTCAGTACTGGCCGATACCACCGCGCTTTTGTCTTTATGGTATCAAGATTGTGGAACAATCTACAAGAGCAGGATTTTCCCAGTTCTACTAACCTTAGGTAATTCAAGACTCGGTTTAACAATGGTTCTTTGGGATATTCCTATCAGCCGGAATATCCTGGCACTTACGCTTCTGCCTTCGCGGATGGTTCGGTGTTAAAAAAAGTTACATTTGGACACATGGAGTCTAAGTACATTTTTTGTCAGCGATTTCATATGATAAGTTCGAACTGCCGATCCTAAGTGGAAACGTTATAAGTGTAATTTTGTGTAAAGTTGAATTACCACCTCAGTTCTTCCAAAGTTTCATAGTATATTCAAACGTATCAACTTTTGTAGAGAATATTTTTTCACAAAATGCTTTAATCTTTCCAGTAAGCTGATGGTTCATAAGATACAATTATTGTAAGGTGTCAGAATGAAAATACTTGAACAGTTCAACTTCACGTTTTGTCCACGAACTTATCGAAGAAGGCACAGGGGGCTTCTTCTCAGAAAACTTCATTTTCTACATACTATATATTTTGGAGTTAGCTGCTATAGGTGGCAGCTAGAGGTTTAGTTCTATAGGGATAGCGTCTGTTTTGTTACTGTAAATGCAAAAAAATATCACAATCTATATCACCTGGACTATTATCCTTTGGCTAGGAATCGAGGGTTCACATATGCTACCCATCGATTTAACTGCCAATTTAATTAAGCGGTTATAGTTTAGCTAACAGTGTCTTGTTTTGTGGACGTGTCCATATTTGTATCCGTTCATATGGAATTAAACAGACAGTTGCATGATGTGCAGATAGCGTTGAAAGGAATGTTTGTTGGCTTATCTAATAATATACGACATACAATCGAAATGGAGATTGCAGGACTAGCATTACATTCAATTTAGTTTACTAGGTGGGTTCAACCATGTTCATAACTTGCCTGAAAGATTGGTTCTACGGATGAAGCCGTTACTTTGAATAGTGGATATTTTCTAGTGAACAATGTTCATTGAATTGACATGCTTTAGTAGAGGAAATAAGCCAGTTCTGACACCTCCTAAAATGCATATCCATCAAGTTGCATACTTCCTATGTCATGCAGTTACTCAGCTTGGAACTAGCTTATCTCAACTACTCATTGCCTCTCCTTTATTACCGTCACTTTCGTTTGCCTGACCTTGTTTGGTAGATGCTCAAGCACACCTAAAACTA